AGAGAGTGTGAGAGAGAGAGGGAGGCCAGACAGAGCGTTTCACACACGCTTGGGCGATTCATTCACCCATCACTGCAGTGAGCACACATACATGCGCTAATACGCATTTGGGGGCTGTCAGCTGCATCAGCTACAGTACACCAGAGCGACGTGGGAATTAAAGGGGAATCGCATCGAAGCGATACGTTTCAGATACATTTTGTGTTTGAGGAGAATGCAGCAGATAGAAAAGTGGCTCAAAGTTGTGCGCGTCTGTTTGAAAGTGAAATTCCTGGCTTTATAAGTGCTTACAATGACAAAAAAAAGGAAAGCTGCTAAATGATAGAAATCAGAGAAAAATGTTGGCATAGAAACAACCCTGAAAGTCGTTGCAGTCATGGTTGCTTTTGGTACTTGCGTGTGTGAGTGGTAGCTTTCAAGAAAAAAAAAGAACAAGAGTGCAGAAGTAGATCTTTTCTTTTCAAAAAAAAAACTGGCCTTCAGCTTTGGCAACGCAGCTGAATACAGTCATCAAGAAAACCCTGGAAAGGGCTTTCTGCTCTTGTTCAGTTTGAAGTTGAGTGCAGGTCCAGAGGAACGTTTGATTTAGTCCCACTGGTACTCTGATCATCAATGCCACTGTGCTGTCTGAAATGGATGTTCAGTCTGTTTTATAACCAGCTTTTAATTTCAGTCCTTTAATCTTGCCTGTTCAAATCAAAGCAGTGGCAATCAATAACAATGAACTAATGACTAGAGCCTGACTGATACATATTGATTGGGCAATATTGGCCTCACAGGTGAATCTGTATTTCCATATATGTTATTCTTTATTGAAAAAGAAAATCATCCTTGAAGCGATGTAGAAAGGGAAAGAGAGCGACTTCCACTTTATTGTTTACAATATTCTTAGCGGTCTCAGAGCGCAGTGCTAGCTAGTTTGTGAAATGCATTGTTGTATCACGCAGAGCGCAGACTTTGGTTGGTGGTTCGCTAAGCAGCAGGAGGAGAGAGATGCATCTGACTCTCTGAGGGGAGTTCTTGTAGGTGGTTCTTTTGTTCCAGCAAAGTCACTAAGTTGGCAGTGAGGTGAACTGCAGTGTGACATTTGGTGCTGCAATGGAGAGGACTGAGACTGTATATACCTGCACATCCAGAGAAATATGTGAAAATCTTTATCCTGCTATAACTTGTAATTGAATAGACAGCACAGGCGTGCACTGATGCTACTCTTTCAGTCTTGAGACTGAATCAAGACTGAAATAGTGCTGCGACTGGTGCTGACAAGAGACAGGTGAGGTCAAATTACATTACTCCAAGTTTAATAAAAGCTTTCTAACAATTGTTAAAGCAAACCTAATGAGAGTGACGGAAGAACTTTTTATTAGATTTAGTCAAAGTTAAGAGTAGCAGGCTCGAAACACAGAGCAATTAAGAATGGAACCAAATGGATCAGCCCACGATCAGACCAGTATCAAACCTAAATAGCAGATTAATGCATCTTTGATCTCAGTTTTCATTGTTCCTCTAAATCCCAGTGTCAGTCAGGCTTTGCTAAAATCTTTTGTCACTTTAAATATTCCCCCTTTCTTAATTCCTGTCTTCCTGCGTGCGTTACTTTCAATTTTCCACTGTGACAGACACATCAAAAATGTGGATTTTTTTGTTTTTTGAGCACGGCAAAACCCAAACGGGACACAGGTTTTATTTCTTTTTCCTAATCATACGTGGCCCGTGTTTTTGCGATAGAAGAAACCTGAAGCACCTTAATGCTAGTGAAGTGGGCAAGTGGAGACATTTGAACTGTTTAATATCATTGTCATAGTTTCATATTGCTGTTGTGACTCTACCCACCGCCCACACACATACAGACACACGCTCGCACACGCAAAGCAAAGAGTCTGTAGTCAGACTGTCTCTTAAGCGAAACGCAGAAACAACCCTTAGATCTTAGTGTGGAACCAAAAAAAGCAACGAAAATCAGTTTTTATAGATCAGTGTTATGAAAAAATTTTGTCTGCTTTTTAAAACCTGTTTTATGAGGAAAGATGTTTTTACGTGTTTGTTTGTTTTTTTAATATACATATTTAGATGTAAATCAAAGGCTATTAGTCAAAGAACCCTTAGTCTTGAGACAAGCACCTAAAGGCCAAGAGGAGGAAGTGGGGAGGCGCCTTGCCCCACCCTCTGTGATGGACCACATGGTACGATCCACAGAGACTCTACCAAGTTCGATACCTGGGGACAGAACAAGTGTGAGATATAAACAAGGAAAGAAAAAGAGAAAGATATAGGATTGGGGTGGGGGGGGGCAGTTTGCACTTTTTTTGTTTTGCTTTCTTTTTCCGTGGTTTGGCTCATTCGCAGTGTTTTGTGTAAGAGCACAGTCTTAAATGAGGGAATCAAAGAAAATCTGGGAGAGATGGAGAGGGAAGGAGAGGACAGTGTAAGCCTCCGTAGAGAAGAGGGACGGATGAAGAGCGGGGGAGGGGGGGGAGGGTGGTGGCTGGGACGCTCGGATGATTTGGTGTGAATGCATGCATGCATACGGCTGTGTATGTACGTGTGTGTGTGTGGTTTCTTGCAGGGTGGGTTGGGGAGCTGTTTGTAAAGGCTTTGTGTGCGTGTGTGTATCTGTGGGCGAACAGAATGTGTGGGTGTGCTTTTAATGTGTGTGTGTGTGCGCATATTAATGTATGTATGCAGTTTTTTTCCTCTCCTCTCGCTTCCCTCTATCTCCATTTATGGCATGTTAATGTCTGCCTCCTCACTAGAAAGAGCTTTTGACAGTGGTACTGTGTGTGTGTGTGTGTGTGTGTGTGTGTGTGTGTGTGTAATGCGCATGCCTATGCCAGGCTGGGTCTGCGTCTCGATCTATGTGCTGCATACGTGTGTGTCTGGCTTCATGGGGCGACTGCGCATGTCTGTCACTGTGTGTGGGTGGTTTGGGTGCTCAGCTCTGCAAGGTCTGTGTGTGTGTGTGTGTGTGTGTGTGTGTGTGTGTGTGTGTGTGTGTGTGTGTGTGTGTATGTGTGTGTGTGTGTGTGGGTGTGTGGGTGGTATGTGCACAGAGGTTGAGATGAGTGGCTGTTTGTTTTTGTCTGCCTCCAAGAGCGGCATACCTTTCTTTTTCCCCCTGTCTCACACACACACACCTGCAGAGTGACATATACACAGCACAGAGTCTGTATGTGTGTATGATATCAAACGTGCAGATGTGTTGCGGGCACGCTGCATGTCATGACTACAGCTCGACTCTTCCTGGATATTTTTTTAAAAACAGAAAAATCACTTTTAAGTAACGCAAATCTCCAACACTCAGATTCTTTTAATCTACAAATTTCCTCCCAGATGTCCAGTTGCTGCTGCCTTTTAAACATCCTGTACTCCTGCATGGGACAGCAGCAAAACTGCAGCCAGGACTCTGACACTTCCCACCCCCCTCTCTTCCTCTCCCCACCCCTCTCTTCATCTCTCGATTGTTTTTTCTCTCGTCTTCTTCCCTCCCTCTTTTCTCCGTGTCCTCGCCTGTCTCTCTGTTTTCCATTCTCTTTGTTTACATCTTTCTGTCTCGCCGCCTCTTTATGTATACATTTCTCTCTCTCTCTCTTCTTTGCTGCCGCCCTAGGTCGCTCTCACACATACACACACAAAGGAAGCAGCTAAATAGTGTGGGTCCCTTGTTGCTTCATTACGTGAACCATCATTTTCCATCGACCACTGCTTCATTTCTGTCTCGACTCCATTTTCTTCACAGAATGCAAATCCCTGCCAAACTCTCCCCTCCTGTATATCTGTATCCACTTCTGTGTGTGGGTCTGTGTGTGTAAATCTGTGTTTGTGTGTGTGTGTGGGTGAGCTGTCTATAACAACAAGAGAACAGGCTGCCAAATATGTTGCTGCATGCGTGCGTGTGTGCATACATATGAGCTATTCGAATGCAAATCTGAAACTAATTGGGCGTAGGTACATTTGACCGGGCACGTCAGTGCTGTGTGTGTGTGTGTGTGTGTGTGTATGTGCGCGCGTGGACGCCGTGGTCCGACTGTCTTCTTTTGTTTTAACCGCACCTTTTAATAATCACACTATTGATGAGGAAGGTCTATCTGTCCCCATATTCCCTTGGCTGCTGTGGCCAGCCAATCAGAGTGTCCACATGAGAGACGCAGCCAATCATGAGGTGAATATCAACCAGACTGTTGAACCAAGTGACCAAGTGAGAAATAATTATAATTATCTAAGACTTGAGCGGTAAGGGGAGGAGGAGGAGGGGGAGGCGGCGGCGGTGCTGCTGTTCTTCTTGAGGAGGAGATGTTTGTTAAGAATCTCCCAGGACAGACGAGGCATTGCGGCATTCTGCCGTCACACGAGCAAAGCCTCAATCCAGACAAAGACACAGGAGTGAGAGGAGAGAGGAAGAGAGAGGAGACTAATGACAGGGAGGAGGACGTGGTGATTGTCTCTCCGTGGCCCTGTGCCACCACGATAAATACTTAGGTGCTTGTTTGTTTATGTAGCGTGACATTTTGCAGAAGGGTGGGGTTGGGGCTTGAATGAATAAACGGTAGATTTGCTTAAATCTCTTAAAAAGGCTTGATAAGAAGAGCACCCAGTTAGTGGACGCCAACGGGGATCCAGATAAAGACGTGA